TTTGAGAATATTATTACTCTCAACCATTTCAAAAACAGCAATAATAGTTATATTAACCACTCTGATTATGATAATAAAAAATATTTATGCTAGTCTACTAAAATAAATTATCTAAATGTTATTTTAAAAAAACTTTGAATATGTTTTTTTTATTACAGCATTGAATCCAGAAACAAGTAACACCAAATGAAAACGTATGCATTTAAACATTAGAACCTTGCAAAATTTAATTTCTAATACTACAAGCAGAAACATAAAAACATTACAAGCTAATTTACCAGTGGAATTGTCATGGGAGTCTTTTTTTTTATGTAATTAATATGAAGTAAAAACTATTAAATTAGTCAACTCAGTCGAAAACAAATTTCTGTCAAATTATCATTTATTATTGCGTAATGAATCATCGCATCGTTAAAATGATATAGTCAGGATTTTAAGCAGTCAGTCAAAAACCCGTATCAGCTATGGTTATGACCAGTTATAACTAGAGATAGTAAATGACTTGAAATGTTCTGATAAATCAAATGACAAATGACTACTCATTGGTCATTTCAAATGTCTAAATGCCTAGTCATTGGTTATTTCGAATGTTTAAATGACTGAGAAGGTCATTTAAAATATGTTAATTGTGTTCTAACACTTTTTTAATAAATGCATTGGCTACAAGATAATGCAAATTTTTATGATGACATAATAATTGTAACTCTTTTAAAAATCAAAATTTATTAAACTAGTCAAAATTTGTGCCTTAAGTAAAGCTTCAGAATAACAAATTGCATTTATAGAAAGCTTAGAATATTTTTATTTAAATGTGAAATGCAGAAGTGACTATTATACTTTTTTAGTTATCAAACCAATAAAATTATTTTATACGCAAATGACTCAAATGATAGATCATTATTTAATGACTTGGGGTCATTTAAATTTTGATTAAATGACCAGGTCATTTACAATCCCTGGTTATAATTGTACCTAAATCACTTTATATATGCCTGACAAAAATTATGAACGTACTTAAGTACGTTGAGAATGACTAAATTAATCTGGGATTTGAAGAATTTGGGTAATACGGGCCTTAAACTATAATAATAATCTAAACTAGCTACTAAACTAACTAATTTAACAAACTATACTAATCCAAATAATCGATAAGGTGGTACTCCAAGGTGGTAGGCTTCGAAAAAGAGGCGTGGAGAAACTTGGTCCGAGTTCTTAGAGCTTGACCCTATGTTGATATATTCGGAAAGTATATTAAAGTCTTCTTATTGCTTTGGTCTATAAACTATCCTAATGTATTTCAATTATTCCAATACTAATTATCTTATTTCTCCAATTCTTCGAAAGTATTATTAGTTTCGGTCACATGTTATGTAATCACGATTATGTCGTTCGGTAATTCAATGTTCGGCTTAGATCGGTGATCAATTTCTACATCACGGGTAGAATTATCGACGGAGATCGGATTTCCAATTAATTGATGTGTTACTGGTATGTCACGGAAATTTTGAATGATCAAACTAATTAATATGTAATAATGAGGTCATGGGCTAGTACCTCTTATTATTAGATGATTTTTGGTAACAATGGGTTTTAGACCTAATTCGGGTATTTTAGCTATATAGAGTGGATAATGGGCATTATTCTTTTACTAATTCTTTCTATGTGCTACTTGTTTGTAATAATTCAAGTTTTTACAAGTATTGGGGCTTAGACTGTATGTATAATGCTGGATTTATTTTAGAAGTATGAAATTCACAACTGACAGATGAAAGGTAACAATTTTTAATAAGTCACTACTTGACTTCTACTACTTCAAGGTCTTCAATAACTTAACTCAACTTGAGTTCTTTTCTTTCACACAAACTGGACTGAGTTTATTTCAATTGCGAAAATTTGCTTTAAATACTTTTTTTAAATTACTGCGTCTTGGGTGGTCTGACGCAGTTTTCTATGCTAAAATGACATAATTCGGTACCAAAGGCAAGGTGTAGTACTGGGAAGTACCAATTTTTATATTCAATTATGTAATGTACTATTAAGTTGGTACGAAATGAGCTAATAGTACCAAAATGCCGTAATAGTCTAATTAAAAAGGACACTTGATCCTTGGATCAAGTTTAGGATAACATGGGTTTTTCCATATAAGGAAGAGACCCGGGTAAGATAAAATAAAAAGAAAACATATAATAATGTAATATATAATAAAAAAAAATAAAATGGGGCAGACACTATCTAATAATAATAATAATATAGGTGAGATTCGTCTCTCACAGTTCCCCTTCTTAACTTCGAGTACCATGAGGATGTGGTCTTAGCAGATGCTACGGAAATCCACATCACTCAAATGTCAGATTCTACTAAGCGTGGTGTAGGTAGTGCGTTATAGCTGCTCTACACCACCATAACAAAAGAAAGCATGATAAATTCGAAGGGCAACGATGTAATAATAGCGGGTGGCAACACTTCTAATAGTCCGTTGCCTCGGTATGGGGACTTGGTTAAGGTATGAGCTTAGATAATAGGCATAAACAAGACTTTCTATTCTATCACTCTCACGTACCGCATTGAGAAGGTGATAGAATATCATGGCCATTTTTGCATCAAAATTGGTCTCTTCCGGCGCAAGACAGGGCGTTGGGTCCACTTCAAGAGGGTCTAAGCTGTATTGGTCCCATTAAATTCGCTGAACGGAAGTCATATTACCCATTTTTAAAAGAAAAGAGAGATATATGTGTATGTTTGTTGTTTTTTTTTTTTTTGTATGTATCTTTTTCTTTTCTCTTCTCTTTTTTTTTTGTCTGTTTTCGTGGTATTTATATTTCTCGTTCATGGTAGAGCTTGAGCAATGTTTTATTAAGGGGTACTGCAAGAACTTCTCCACTTAATTCTTTTAATTTGTAGGCGCCTTTCGTGAGTTTAGCATGAACATAGTATGGCTTTTTCCAATTTGGCGTTAGCTTATGACTATGGGTGCCCAATTTTCTGGCTTCGAGAATGAGCACTTTGTCGCCAATATTGAAGTCATCTGTGTCTTTGACTTGTTGATCATGATGTGCCTTTTGCTTTTGTTGCTCCTTACTGACTTGGCGTAATGCGTTTTCACGGGCTTGTGGGAGATCATTGTCGATCTCATACAGCCTTTGGATAATCGTTTTGTTTAACAAATCGTTAGACATACTAGGATGCAGGGGTAATTGGGCTTCCCTCCCATATACCAAGTAAAAGGGCGTTTCATGGGTCGTGGCTTGCTTTGCCATATAGTAAGCAAATAAAATTGGCGATATTATGAGGTCCCAGTCTGTCACATTTGTCACTAATCTAGCAATGGCCTTACATAACGTTTGGTTAAAACATTCAACTAGCCCATTTGTTTGTGGGTGATACAGGGAAGAATTATGATGTTTAGTATTCATGACCGCGAGAAGCTCATCTACCACGTGGTTGTTGAAATGAGATCCTTGGTCAGATAGTATAATGCTGTGGCAACTATGCCGGCATACTACCTCTTCATAGATGAACTTAGCCACCTCCTTAGCGTTAGCCCTAGGAATTGCACGCGCCTCGGGCCATTTAGTTATATAGTCGGGCGCAACTACTATATATTTATTGAATCGAGGCGTTATAGGTAGTGGTCCGACAATATCTATATCTATTCTATGGAATGGGGCTTTGACTGGTATGGGGCGTAGCAGTCCCTTGGATCTCTTTTTTCTATGCAATTGATAGTTCTCACATGTCTTGACATACTCATATATGTCATAATATATCTGAGGCCAGTAATAGAAGCTTTGAATTTTATTGAACATGATATCTTTTCTGAAGTAGGCTCCTGTTGGATGGTCATGTGCTAGGTTTAATATAAGCTTCAATTCTCCTTCTTGTAGAACTTTTTGTAGCTTCCCGCCAGGTTTTCTATTCTTCTTAAACAAACTTCCATTCTTAGTTTGGAAGAATCGGCTTTGCTTTTCCAATTGTCTGTGCTGTTGATTTTCGTAGTGTGGTGGGTACTGTCGATATCGAAGATACGTGGTTAGTGCTGTGTATAATTGTGGATCCATTTGTTGAATGTCTCGTTAATCAAGTTTCTTGGCTTTGATTTGTGCCAGAATACTGACAACCTGGTCTGGATTAAGCTTAATGTCAGATTTAAGGTTGATTGAAGCTTTAGCTTTGTTCAGTGGTTCGAGTATTAATTAACAATTAATTTTTCTAATTTTGTCAATGTTCGAGTTTCGTTATCGACTCCAACTCCGTTTTGGTATCAATACCTATCTGTTATTTATCTTTTCTTGTGATTATATCTTCTGTATACGTGGTATGACTAAGTAGGTATTTGCCTTCGTGCTTTTCCTTCAATTTTCTTGGGTAAAAGCCTTTTACTCGTGTCAATACTACTCTGTATGGCTTTTCTCGGAGATTTTAAGTCTTCCTTCTGCAGCTTCGAATTCTTGGTCTACACTTAGACCCTCTTATACTTCATTGGCCTTTAATCATATCAAATTTCGTCATATCCATTGTTCTTTCTTGCTTGATACTTTACTTCTATTTAGTTGGGTCTCTGCTAATCGTGAACTTTGTTCACGATATCACGTGATTATAATTCCCGGTTAATTTCTTATATCGATATTAATTTAGTTGACTGCTTATTAGTTCAACTTCAGCTTCTTTCCATATGCTGTCCAACAAGGTTGCTGAATATACAGAAACCAATTCTCCTTTACCGATTTCTTTAACATCTATTAAATGAATCCATTCAACCGCATCTTCATATTTCCAGACCCTATGTTGGAATTTTTATTAATGACTGATATTTTTCCTTTCAATTATTGGTACCAGGACACCGACAACCTGGTCAGAATTCTCGCTTAGCGTCAGATTTAACTTTGGTATTCATTTTAGGTAGGTATTTCTTCGTGTCTTGCAAAATTATTTCGCATGGTTAGCCGGTTCCAAGATTATTAATTTTATCTTTATCTATTTTGGCTAATAGCCTCGTATTTTCAGTTACTACTCAATTTCTTTGAGCTGTTCAAGCATTTTCTAGTGTCAATTCTTCGTAGATTCCATTTTGATAACAATGACCAATCTGTATGGGTCTTTCCATCTATATTTGGAGTTTTCTTTTTCTTTCCACTGGGTTTCGTAATCCCCAATCTATCCAAATTTGCTTATTTATTGACCTGTTTAGTTTCGATTTTTTCAGTGTGATACTGTCCCTTTTTCTAACTTTCTAGCCCTAGTAATGCTTCCTCACGTTCTTGTTAGTATACTTCGTTTGATAGTTTCTATCTCGCTATCACTACTCTTCCTGTAATAATTTCGTATCTTCCTTCCAATATTGTTCTTCAATACTTGGCGCTATCTTTTGTTCTGGCTCTTGAATAATGATGCTGTGATATTTTTCCGTCCTTTTGTACATATATGATTTTATGTCTTCTTGTCATTTAAATAGGGCCCCAACTCGCCCTACTCCATCCTGACTAACCTTTCTCTATTGTCAGGTCTGATTTTGGAAGTTTAGTTTTTTTTTTTTTTTTTTTTTTTTTTTTTTTTTTTATATTATATATAAGTTTAGGGTACTAATCTAATATGGTTTTTTGCTTTTGAGGGGTTTATAATTTTCTGGACATTTTAGGTCAAAAAGGCATTGTTCTCTTCTATTCTTTATATGCTATCATAGGCTTCCCAGACAATAAATTCGTCAAAGGTTTGGGGCCATTCTTCAAAATTACTACTAGCCTCCATAGATCTAAATAATGAATTGTTATCCTCGATTTCATTTCAAATTTGGTTGGAGCCGGAATAAATGATATAATTCCATTCCCCATCATTATTCTCGAATTCCAGCCCTCTTGCTATTTCTCCCCATAGGGTATGTTAATTTGATAGGCTTCGTTTAACGGCATGGCTTGTGGGTTACTTTCAAGATTACTATAGCTTATAGGCTCGTATTGGTAACCATTTTGAGTGGACTACGTAATTTCTATTTCGGCTTCTATAGCCAATTCAATTAAGAGAGCCTGAAGATACCTTTCATGCTCTACTTCACTTGTGGTGAGTTCTTCGTCCAGTTCACATTCCCAAATTTCATTTTTATCAGTGCCATAATCTTCCCATTCGCTTTCTTCTGTATTAAGGTCTCTAGGGATAGTTTCTGTCTCTTCATCAATTTCTTCAGGGAAGTATTCTTGGGCAATTGCCCTGAAAACTTCCACCTCTTCAAATTTAGCGAATTTGGTTTCTTCAGGTAGTAATTTACCTTGGTGATTTTCTTCAACATTTCTCATATCTGCTACTTTTGATAATAGCTAACAGTTTCGCGATTGCCATTTTTTGTCTAGGTATGTCTGTAACCATGCGTGATAATGCATCAGCATTATTATGGACCCTACCTGATCTGTGTACGATAGTGAAGTTATAGGGTTAAAGGCGTAGAATCCATCTAGCTCTTCTCCCTTTTAGGGCAGTATTGTGAAGCCATCTTAATGCTGCATAGTCCGTAACAACAATAAATGGTTTATACCCTAAGTAATGATGGAAATATTCCACTGCCCAAACCACAGCATAACATTTCAGCTCCGTGGTGTCATAATTTCTTTCTGGGCGTGTAAGGCTTTTGCTTGTATAAGCAATGGCATACTCCTTCTTGTTTTCATCTTTTTGGGCCAATACTGCCCCTAATCCAATACCAGACGCGTCGGTATAAAGATAAAATGTTCTTTCAAAGTTAGGGTATTTTAGGATCGGGGCAGTAATGAGGTGGGTCTTCAATGTTTTGAAGGCTTATTGCTGTGCTGTTTTCTATTGATAAGATATGTTCTTCTCCAATAATTGATGCAAAGGTTTTGCAATTGTGGCAAAATTCCTGATAAAGCGGCGATAATAAGAGGCTAGGCCTATGAAGCATCTTAATTGCCTTAAGTTAACCGTAATGGGAAAATTCTTGACTTGGGCTATTTTATCTTCGTCTGGGGGTGATGCCGGCTTTTCCTACCTCATGCCCTAAGCATTTAATGCTATTTTTGAATAGCTCATATTTCTCAGGGTTTAATTTTAACCCGGCTACAGCTAAGGTTGCTAGGACGGTATTAAGATAGTTTAAATGGTCTTGGAAGGTTTTTGAATAGATGATTATATCATCTAGATACACTTCCACATAATGCCCTATGTATTCGCGTAAGATATGATTCATAGCCCTTTGAAAGGTGGCTGGAGCATTGCATAGGCCAAAAGGCATCACGTTAAAGGCGTAAGTGCTCTTTTTCATTATAAAGATGGTTTTTTCACGGTCTTCATTCTTCATCATTATCTGCCAGTATCCGCTGGCTAGATCAAGAGAAGAAAACCACTCCGCCTTCCCAAATGTCTCTAAAAGCTCGTCTATTCATGGCAATGGATAAACATCTTTCTTGGTTATAGCATTTAACTTTCTATAGTCAATGCATAACCTTAGTTTCCCATTCTTTTTCAGTACAATAATCACAGATGAAGCTCATGGGCTTTTTACTTCTTCTATTAATTTGTTTTTTGATTTCCTGGTTCAGAAAGTTCTGCTTATCCGGGGCAATCCGATAGGATGATTGCCTAACAGGTCTTTTGTTGCCGGTGTTAATTTCATGCTGAATTTCATGGTACTGGCCCAATTGGTGTAACCCGATAGCGAAAAGCTCTTGAAACCCTTTTAGGGCTTGTGCTGCGTTTTCTTTCTGTTTTTCATTTAATATTTCTGATGATACTAACTCTTCAATGATTTCTTTGCGGGTTAGTTCAGGCTGGTCACTTCTTTCCGCCGTTAGGAGTTCCTCTAGGTCTGTTAAGTATATTGCAGGGTTCTCAATACCTTCTAAGAGGTTACAGTTTGTTTCTTCTGTTTCGGCTTCATCTGTATAATAACTTTCCACCTCTTCTAGGTCATTTTCTTCTTCATACAGATCAAAGAAGTCATCACCTTCATTATCATTGTCGGGAGGAGATTCTATTTTTTCTTCTTTTGCTTGGTTGATTAGGACTTCTATCTGCTTCCCCAAATACCATAGGGACAGTTTTTGTGTGTCAAAATATAATCGGGCACGCACCTTTTAGAACCAATCCATTCCAAGGAGCATCATTTCATCTGGGTTTTCTATTACTTGAAAATCGGTGGGTATTAAAACAGTTTGTACTGCTAGTTTTACTCCTAGCAATCTTCCCAAAGCATGTTCTCGAGCCCCATTGGTAGTAATGACTATGGTATTAGAGGGCTCCATTTTGATTAGGTTAAGTTTTCTAGCTAATTTCATCGACATTATACTGACTGTGGCTCCAGAGTCCAAAACTGCTAATATTGGGTTATTATTGACCCGAATATAGCATTTGGCCACAGTAGTTTTTTGGTTAAGTATATTCTCAGCAAAATTAGTGGTTTCTACCACATTAATAGCTGGGCGGCATAAGGCTTTGGCTAGATTATGTCTTTGTTTTGGGATTTGCAAGAGTTGGGCGTATGTCGCATTGGCGCGTTGCTCCAATAAGTCCTTGGCAATATCATATAGAGGTGCAAAATCAACCAATGAAGGCCCACGTTTTCGTTTTACTCTAGTATTGGTTTGTAATTGGGACTGAACTGGAACAATTTCTTCTATAGCAGTAGGTTGTGAATGTTTTTGGATCAAGGTAGGCTCAACATTAACCTTTTTCCTTAATCGATCATCCTATTGACTTTCGTGTTCTGCTCATCGCTTAATAACATAGGCCTTGTCTTCAGGGTTATCGCTATAAATGTCATATAGATTGACATTTCTAGTACATAAAGTGGAGCTGCAAGAGTCCCTGGGTGGTCGTTGAGAGTTTGGGTGTCTCCCAAAATAACAGTTCCGGGCAATATGGCCTCTTCCTCCACAATTATAACATTCTACACCCTCACTCCTTATCTGGCGGGGTTGATATCAGTTTTGCCTAAGTGGAGTCGATTGAAGGCTTACCTTAGCTTGGGCAGCAAGGTTGGTGGTTAACTTTTCGTAATTAACAGCCATTTGTTGTAATTTTTTTGTCAGATCATTGATAAGTTTCTCATTAGGTTCATTATTTTTCTTTGTTTTATAGTAATTGCCGGCTTCAATTTTTCTTGCTTTGGCAATAGCTTTATCTAAGGTGTCAAAGTCTTCTGCCGACATTAAAGCAGCCGTCCTGCTGTGGAGACCCCCATAAACATTCTGATGATATAAGTGGCAGGTATTTCTTTGCCTGGATCAACTCTTTTCATGAGACTTTTGAATTTGAAAACGTATCGATTTACTTTTTCATTTTCGCTTTGGGTAAGTGAGGTTAGTTCTAATTGCCAACAATGTTTTCGTTCTGTAGTGGCGAAATATTTAGTGAATGCCAGAACAAAACTGTCTTCTGGGTTACCTTCTTCTTCCCAGAACAATAAATTGTCCTTATTATCGTTATACCAGTTGGCTGCAATTCCAGCTAAATGTCCTGATGCTATTTTAATTTTTCTTGCCCAGGACCAATTATTTGCATCAGCGGCCCTTTCAAAGGCTTCGATCTATTCAACTTGGTCTTCATCCTCTTCGCCTTTGAAAGTCTTCACATGTACCCAATTATTTTCTCTGGGGTTGGGTGGA